CCTAGGCGAGGAGGCTGCAACACCTGCCCCAAACAGGAAGTAACTGGGACCCACTGAGACCCAAGAATTCACTCCTGGCCCAGAGCACGGGCCCCTTCCAGTTTCCACCTCAGCACTGAGCAGATCTTGGGCCTCAGCTCTAACCCCAGCAGCAAAACCCATCCCAAACAGTTCTGACACAACCTAGATAATAGGAAAGACAGGCCCCAGTCAGAGACAGCACAGAAAGCACAAAGGTGATCCAGATGGCAAAAGGCAAGCGCAAGAACATAAACATCAGCAACCCAAGGTACTTGCCATCATCAGAACCTAGTTCTCCCACATTAGAAAGTCCTGACCTCCCCATATCACCAGGAAAGCAAGAACCAGATCTAAAATCACTTCTAATGTTGATGATAGAGGACTTTAAGAAGGACATAAATAACACTATCAAAAAACTTGAGGAAAACACAGGTAAACAGGAAGAAGCCCTTAAAGAAACAAAAAAAATCCTTTAATGAATTACAAGAAAACACAAACAAACAGATGAAGGAATTGAACAAAACCATCCAGGACATAACAATGGAAGTAGAAACAATAAAGAAATCACAAAGGGAGACTACCCTGGAGACAGAAAACCTAAGAAAGAAATCAGGAGTCATAGACACAAGCATCACCAACTGTGTTGCCATTGTTAGCCTTATTGATCAACCCATTGATTACAAAGAGATACTGACGTTCCTAACAGCAGAGTACCAGAAGCCAAGTCTGATGGGCTCTGTTGGGGCTACTTTGGATGCGAGAGATTATTTCATGGTTTCAAACCCTTTCAGAATGGGGTCTTGTGGATATCCTATTTTAACATTCACACAGGCTCACACATTGTGCTTTTGGATAGTCACAGCTGCTTGACATGCATACAAAGAAACAAAGTTCTCTGTCACTGGCTGTAGTCATCCTGAGCTCAGTGTCGTATCATGAGTACCCAGTAACAAATTTCTCAAAGCAATGCAACATAACCTAGTCTCTGTTGCCCTAGTTTGTGTGACAATGGGCAGTTCTGCAAGTATTCTATGAGTCTACCTGCATTTACATCTTGGAACTGAACCTTACTACAATATCCCATCCTAACATTTGTGATGTAAGGAGGTGAGTGTGTCTAGCAGGCACAGACAGTGCAGAACAGAGCATGGTAATGTCAAGTGCCAAAGATAAGTTCCTTTTAAAAAATTCCAAGGCTTGAGTTATTTGAAACATTTCTACAACTACATAATGGAATATTATAAATCCAGTATTACTAGAGTAGCAGAATGGGATTACAACCCCATAGGGAGAACAACTTTGGATGGCCAGACAACCCAGTGTTCCCAGGGACTAGACCACCAACCAATCCCCATGCAGGCAAAGAGGAGGGAGCAAAGGATGGATGTGAGAAAGGGGGGGCTGGTTGTGGAGGGGTAACCAGGAAGTGGAATATCACTTGAGATGTAAACAAATGAAATGATTAATAAAGGATTGAAATAAAATAAATATTATAAATGACATGTGCTGTTCTGTGCTGTTCTTCAAGCAAATTGAGTGATTTTTCTATACTCATTACCTCACAGTCTAGAATAACGCAAATTATGGTTACAATGAATTTGATCAGAACTCCCTTTATTGCCACTAGGCCTGAGGGAAGGGAAGGGTTTCAGTTTTGTTGTTTTGCCACAAGCACAACTAATAACGTTTCAGAATCTGCTTCCATCCACATCCTGCAATGCTTATTGAATATAGCTATATGTTCAAGCACCATTTATATGTGCTCACATTTGAAATTTATTTTATCAAACTGTATTTTGAAAATCATCAATCACTTTTGAAATATATCTTACTTAATTCTAATTCTCATGTAGTTGTAGAGCTCACGTTTCGTTTCCTTTTGTGTGGTATTTCGCTGTTAATCTGTCTTTTTCAGTTCATGTGTCATCTTACTCTCAAAGTGAGTTCCTTGTAAGAAGTGTCTCATTTTGATGGGTCATTTTTTTATTCAAGCAATAAATGTATATAAATATTGAAGGATTTTCTCTATTGACATTCAAGGTTCTTATTTATAACTAAGCATATACCCATATAATCTTCTTCAGTTATTTTCTTGTTTGTCGGTGCAAGTTTACTTTTCTTCTCTTACTTATTATTCATTTAATAGATTTCAACATATAATCTATAATTTATGACTGCTATCTACTCTACTTTCTGTATTTGCTATACTTACAATTGTTTTTTCTTTCACATATTTATATGATTATGCTATCATGTTATTCTGCTTCTAGTACAGGACTCTGGTTCATATCTTATACAATTAGCCTGATAGTAATAAATTTTGCCAGTTTTACTCTTTCTCACAGACTTGACATTTTCTTCATTTCTGAGAAATAATTTTATTGCATATATTGTCTCAGCCTTTTCTGTGTTGTTTCTGAATATATTACCTCATTGTCTCCTGACCTATAGGGTATCTACTTAGAAGCAGGTTACTTCTCTAATACTAATTCCATAATGGTTGCAAATTTTACTTTTATGCTGACTTTTTTTTTTTTTTTACTTTTTTCTTTGTACAGGACTTTGACAAACTGATGACCATATCCATAGTGTCATTAGGCCCTGTTCCATTAGGAATTCGTTGATGATCTTGGACCTTGGTGCCCCAATCTTGCTAAAGAGAGAAATGCGTTCTCCAAATAATTTTATTTAGAAGTTTGTTTTCCTAGGGAGGGGCGCCAGGTTTTCTCTTTTCACTCTAAAACTAAAAACTCAATGTCTAATCATTTAAAATGTCTTTGAAGGTTTCTGAAGTCATTTTCATTTGTTGTTCCATTTACATGACTGCTTAGTTGTTTCATGTAACTAACATTCAATGTCAGACACTCTTCTAACTGACTTGCTGTTAGTACTAAGAGTCAGAGTGGATGGATGACACCTGAAGAACAAGTCCCTCTGAATCAAATAAGCAAGAGGTATGTGAGTTCACAGAGAGTGAAGAAGTAAGCACAGGGCCTATACCAGGTCCTCTGCCCACATACCATAACTATTAGCTTAGCAATTGTGTGGGACTGTGAGAACAAGTGGTTCTCTGATGCCTATACCAGTTGGTGGGATTCTTTTTCTCCTGTTAAGTTGCTACGTCAAACCTTGCTATGATAGATTTTGGTTCAACTTATGTTTTCTTTTTGTCATGTTTGGGTGTTATCTCTTAGAAACCTGTTCTTCTCTAGTGTGAGACAAAAGGGAGGATGGAAGGGGAGGAGGAGGAATTGGATGGAGTGGAGGGGAGGGAAAATGTTAGCGGGATATATATTATGAAAAAATTATTTTCAATTTAAAAGTGAACACAAAAAGACTTATTCCTAAAAAACTTTATAACATTAACTGTGTAGCTATTACCATGTATATATACTGAGCTCCATCTCTGGGAATATCTCATGCATTATCTGTACTAACTTTGTCAAATGGCTCGACAGTATTCTCTAGTAACACATAATTGCCTTATAATTCCCATTTTGAAATGTTTATAAGGAAATATGTTAATTTCACTCTTAGTAGTCTGTTGGTAGAAAGTTTCTTGCAGCTTTGGAGACAAATGTTATCTTGATTTTTCATTAAATTTGTAGCACTGTGTTGTGATTTGTCCACAGGGCAGGACAACTATATAAATTTTATACATAAGAGAGTAAGATGGCTAATTTCAACTGTTACCTATAATTGATTAAGAAATACCTAGGGAGGAGCGTGATGGGAACATCCTCTTGGAAACAGGGGCCAGAGAGGAAGTATGGGATGTGGAACAATAGAAGGGTGGACCAGAAGGGGAAAAAAATCTGGACTGTAAAAAATTTATTATTATTATTATTATTATTATTATTATTATTATTATTATTGAATACCTAGGGTATAATGAAGATAATCATTAGGGTCCATCTATGCAGAAATTTTTAAAGATATCTTTTATTTCTCAATCAGATGAGGAAATATGCTCTTACTATGACATTCTTAACTATTCAATGGATGCTATAATGGTAATGGAACAGTGGGAATATTTATCAAGTTATCTTGCAATTGATTCTACTAAGTGAAACACATAGAGTACGTTTTTCATGTTCTTCTCACAATTGTAGATGTATGTAGGGCTGAATAATAGGATTTTAAGGCAGGGTCATCTAAGATACAGGAGCCATGGGTAACTTGGCCAACTACTTTATGAGACATCTCAAGATAATTAATTTACGCAAGAGGATCTGTCGATAAAGTGTAAAATGTATATTGGGTATTTTTTCCCTGGTAAAATGCAGTAGAGTACTAACTGTGAATCCTACCAACCCAACACACAGACACTGAAAGACAAGCTCTTCTCCCATCCAGGGCATGACAAGAAGCTGTTAGGAGTCCCTACATACTATGACATGCCAGGTTACGCTTCCTTTCATTCTGATTTGTTTTCTGAGAGGAGATTGTAGCTGCCTTGTGCTCAGTTTCCTTCTAAATAACCATTATTTTACTTTTTGAGACTTTAAGACATGCATATAACATGTTTTGATCAAATTGTTGAATTGGATTACATGAATACATTTATCAACACTGATACAAAAATTTTGATTGGTTATGTGTAAGAAACAATGATCAGCTATGTAAATTAATATGCTTTCAATTCTGTATAGAGGAGAATTCAGAGAGCAACCACGTTATGATGTCACTGCCTTTGTGAAACATTTTAGAATACTTTAGTATTTATATAGCATCAACAATTAAACACAATCATCACCTCCTGCTTTATTGTAAATGCTCCATCATAAAAGAGACATTAAATACTGTCATGTAAACAGAAAATAATCTAACATTTACTCTCACTACTTTTTTCTCTTCAAAAACTAATGGTCATTCAGTTATCAGCTTTGAGCAATGCAAGTTACATTTTAACTTCTTGGCTAATACTTCATCGATAAAAGCTCAAGCAGTGGCAAAGGGATCACACTGTGAACAGAAGGACTTTGATTTCCAGGATGCCTGTCAAGTGGATTTCTACTCTGCTCCTGCTGCAAATGGGTTTCTGCATCAGATCTGGGAACTGTGGGAAGGTGTTGGTGTGGCCAATGGAATACAGTCACTGGATGAATTTAAAGATAATACTGGATGAACTTGTGCAGAGGGGCCATGAAGTCACTGTTCTGAGACCTTCATCTTCCATCTTTCTTGATCCCAAAAAAGCATCTGGTCTTATATATGAAACATTTCCTACAGCTTCTAATAATGTTGAAGTAGAAAAGTTTTTTACCCAGTGGGTGAATACATGGACATATGATGTGCCAAAAGATACATGTTTGAGATACTACCCCTCATTGAACATAATGTTTCATCAATTTTCTGACTTGTGGTTAAGGCTTTGTAGAGAAGTAGTTTCAAACAAAGGACTTATTGAAAAACTAAAGAAATCTAAGTTTGATGTTGTTCTTTCAGATGCCGTTGGTCCCTGTGGTGAGCTTATAGCTGAGCTATTGCAGTTACCTTTTGTGTACAGTCTTCGCTTTGGTAATGGTTATGGGATTGAAAAGTACAGTGGGAGACAACTCTTCCCTCCTTCTTACGTACCTATTATTTTATCAGGATTAAGTGGTCAAATGACATTCATGGAGAGAGTAGAAAATATGATATGTTTACTTTATTTTGACTTTTGGTACGAGTCATTTCCTGCTAAGGACTGGGATCCATTTTTCAGTGAAATTTTAGGTAAGTTGTGCATCTCATCAGCAGTGTGAGGCTCTTTCATTGCTCTTCAAGGTATTCTTAGGTACAGATTGGTCTCTTATGATGAAATGATTAAATGAAATACAATATTGCCTAATGATCTCACTAAACCTATGAGAGAGCTTATATTACTGATCAAAGAGAAGAAGGTAGCAGCTCTGATCCAGGACATTTAGGAAGTAATGCAGTTACAAGTTGAGGGTGCTAGCTTTCTCTAAGCAATTTCACATTTATTTTTATCAGATTTTTCTTTGTTTTCAAAAGATAAGGTACTTCCCTAATGTGCTGTGTGTACGTGTGTGTGTGTGTGTGTGTGTGTGTGTGTGTGTGTGTGTGTGTGTGATTTATGGATATTTGTGTTCACATTGGGTGCAATTGCACATACACCTGTGTGCCTGTGGAAATGGATACCAAATACAGCATCTAATGTCTACTTCCATCCCTACCTAATTCATTTAATGAGACAAGATCTTTCACTGAATCAGAACCAATTTGACAGAGTGATCTGGTCAATAGCTCCAAGAATCCACTCAACACTGCACCACAAGCACAGGTGTCCACACTGCATACAGGTTTTAGGTACCTGTACCTAAATGGGCATTCACATGCAAGCCATGGTGCAGCTACAGCAAACATTTGACCAGTTGACCACTCTCCCATCCTATTCTTGATAAATTTTAAAAAGGAATATATTTAATAGTGTCTTTGATGTACAGCTTTTGGAAGGTTGTTCTGTCATGTTAGAATCTGTTTTTGAATTTTTCTTAAAATATTGCTTTCCTTATTTTCTAAAGAATTCCCTGTCCTAATATATGCTTAATATATATTCACCCCTCAAGACAGAATTACATCCAAGTCTCCATTTTAAAGAATTAAAGTCCTGAAGCTTGGACCCAAATTTATCTGTTCTGTACTGTCAGCAGTTGCAGTCCCCTGCTTTAAAGTAAAGAAGGTACAACTAAGCAAGAACAAAAATTTCAATTTCTAAAAACATTCCAAGTAATATTTGTAAATATTTTCTACAAAGAAATGCATATGATTACATTGCTAGTGTGAAAGAAAAAGTAGGGTTAGGTGTCATAAATTCTTCCAGGAATCACCCTTATAAATCTCCTGAACACTGAGAGTAAGAGATTGCTTGTTTGTTATAGAAACTAACTTGATTCCTGGAAAGGTTATGCTAAAGTAGCTTGACTGTAGAGGTAGAATTTCCTTTATATTGGCATCTACCTTTCTGAAGCTTTAGAGGACCAAAATGCATGGCAGATATGTAGAAGCTTAGCAGATTGGATGAAAATAGGATTTCTGAATTACTAAGGTGACATTAGCATTTCATCTCACTTTGATTTTAACAAGCATACATTAAGTAAACCATAAATAAATTACACTTTAGGTGCTTTATACATAAATGAATGTAATTGTTTCATAAATGCACACTTTGTTTCTTTAGTAATATTATTTCAACACTTTTCAGACAGTATGTTATTCACATGGCAATACTTTTATTATAATTTTGCTCTTTGAACCCCAATTCATTTCTCCATTTAGGAAGACCCACTACTATGGTTGACACTATGAAGAAAGCAGAAATGTGGCTCATTCGGTCCTACTGGGACTTGGAGTTTCCTCGCCCATCCTTACCAAACATTGAGTTTGTTGGAGGACTCCACTGCAAACCTGCCAAGCCATTGCCTAAGGTAAATACATTCTTTGGGTTTTGTTTTATTTCATTTTATTTCAAAGGGTTCTACACCATACTTTTAGTTTCCCTTCCAGTAAGACAGAATGGTAAGTAGGGAAAGGTCTGGCCAAATAGATGCTCCAAGTTAAAACAGTCACAAATGTATGAATTTCCTTCAATTTATAGAATAACAGAAGAGACATGGGGAAATAGCTTAATCCAGTGACTCAAAAATTTAGGTATATTTCTACAGAAAACTGCAAAATGATTAGTATACACCTGAATAAGTTCTTAATGTGCAAAGAAATAACATAAAGGTGTCTATGCCAAAATCATATTTAATAATCCATTAATAAAAATTGAATATAATATATTTTAAAAAATGATTATAATTCTAAAGAGGCCATTGAATAGAAATAATAAAAAAAATTGTAAACTCATTGATCTAAAAAAGAGAAAGCCTAAGGTATGAAAGAGAAGTTGGACAATACAGCTAAGAAATATGCAAGAAAATAAGATGCTAGTTTACCGAGAGCAAGTTCAAGGACCTGAATGTATGATGTGTGCAAAGCAAGGGATTTTGATAAACAGACATTCTCAATAGAACACAGAGAAAGGGAGTGAACTGAGAAGTAAGAGCAGATTTCTTTTAAAATTTAAAAAAAAAAGGCTACAAGATGCAGTCGCCCATTGGAAAGGGCCAAGACAGAAAATAAAAAACATTTAGGAGATTAATGCTGTGGTCCAGATAGTAAAGAAGATGAAGCTAGAATAGAATACTTATAGATCTCAGTACATCTAACCATAGTCTAATACTACCAAGACCATACAAGGTTTGAAAAGTTGACACCCATAAAACTAAATATATATCTCAGGTTCTTAGTGGGCAATGCTAAGTTAATGCTCAATATTTCCATCACTGCTATCTTTGTTGTTACTGTTAGGCTGTGATAATATTGCTGACACAACAAGCTACAATGACAATGAGATTTGTTGGTCATGAACACAAAGGTTTCAGGACTTGGCTCAAGTTAGTTCAGTCCTAGGGTAGGACAGACCCTATTGGAGGCATATGTGTATAGAAGGATCTGTTTGTACCATGAAGGAGGGGAAGCAGAGACTTAGTTGGATTGTTCCCAATACAAGAAGCCAGTTACATGATGTCATTCAGTAGGCTTCACTTCTTAAAGTTTCCAAATACTTCCCCAAAATGTACCATGACCAGCAATCACAAGATGTACCACTGAGTATGCAGGAGAACACTTAAATTCAAACTATAACGATTTACTAAAACTAGTAATTTTCTTATATTTAAAGAAACCTTAGATTCATATTGTTCAATAATAATGAAAATTTCAACACTTTTATCATCCTGAAATTATAAATGCCATTCATATTTATAAAGTAAATGTATAAATTTTGGCATCAAAATGGAAAACGTGTAAACTTAAAATATATCTATGTCAATGGTTTTCTAGCTTAAAAAGAGAGTTCCTCAATATAGTGAATATTTATTATCAGTGACATTTAAGAAACACTCAACATTTCCACCAATTCCTGCACTCCCCACTTGAGATCTCAGACCAGACTTTTGTAGCATAGGGAATAAAAGGGATACTGTATGCTACTGATACAGAAGATTTTTAGTTTTGTTTAATTGTTATTATTTCTCTCTCATACACACACACACACACACATACACACACATGTGCGTACACACACACCATACCTATGTATAGAAAAACATATTAAACAATATTTGAGTCCATTAAGTGTTGTTCATATGTACTCATATGTACATCTGTTAAAGGGCAAATCTTTTGTTATTGGGTAAACAGTTTGGTGCTCTTCTCTGGGGAAGACTGATCAAACCTTTTCTGTCTTCTGACAGACTACAAGAGATCCCTAAAGCCATTTTGAGTAACATGGTCCCTAGCATCAACCACAAGAATAACCATAGAAAAATACATATAATGGACATGAGCGTTCCTATCACTTGCTGATGATCAGATTTAAATGACTCAATCATTATGCCATTATATCTGCTATGAAATGAAAATCACAGCTGTAAGACAATTAGCAAGATTTTCGTTAATGACATATAATACGATTTTCATGGATTTCTCACAGTTTTATATTACTAACAGCTACATAACATTCAAATATTTTTCATTTACTTTTAATTTTGTATGAAGCATGTGTGCACATTCAGGGAGGAGAGCTTCATGGCACGTGTATAAATGGGGGAGTCTATTCTTTCTTCCAGCTGGTGAATTACAAGAGCGAGATTCAGGCCATCAAGGTCGGCAAAAAGAATCCTACCAACTGAGCCATCTCACTGGCCACTGAAGGAGTCTTCTATGGTTACTATCCAAATAACAATTAAAACTTAATCATTTAGACTATGCACAGTGATTTTCTATGATCAAAGGCCAATTTCATGTGCATGTAGGTTTTGGACATTTATCCTGTACTTGAATGATTTCTCAGTTTCCTTAGAGAAGCACTCAGTGTTATTAGTTATTAGTTATAGTTATAGTTATTAGTTATAGTGTTATTAGAACAAGTGAAAGAAGACAATGAAAACAGTGTGCAACAATACAATAATCATAATTGGTAATAATAACTGTTGTTATTATGTTTCACAAATAAGATTTTAACCTAAGTTATATATTGTAAACTTTATTATTCTGTGTTGAAATTTCTCTATTCAGTCTGGAAAGATGACTCAGCAGGCAAAAGACTAGCCTAAAAGTCTGATAACCTGAGTTTCATCCCTAGAAATAACCAAAAATGGTAGAAAAGTGCCAGGGGACAGCCCAAGGATTCAGACAGGTCCCTGCAAAAGAGATAAGGAACTGGCAGAAGGGATTTTGGATGAATGAGTCAGAGACTAGGGCTGGGAGAATCTTGCCTCTCTGACTGAGTAGCAACTGGGATGTTTATTTATACAGACTCCACAAAAGAGGCAAATTTACGATTTTAAAAGAAATATCAATCATAATCATCTTGTCCCCGGGAAAGTGTTAAAAGGACACAGAGAAAAAGTATTACCGATCTCAAATCATTTTAGAGTACATGAGTGTTTAAGACATATGAGATCGTATTCCCTATAAAAGTGAAACGGTAAACGGGTAGAAAAGTATCTGAGTCAGTCTAGGCAAGTTCCCAAGCCTTGAACAATGTATACTGGTTCAAGTACAACTTGTGAGTTGGCCTGGTTTAAAGTTTTCAAAGCTCTCCCATGCTGCAGCTTGACTTGTTCTATTCATTTGTTTTCTAGTTAAATGACCTCACTGTAACAGTGTGAGTCAGTCTCCTTATGATTGGCAAATTCTTGTATTTCTTTTATATCACGTTGTTTTAGGCAAACTAACATTGTTACTATGTTTTTATTTTCTGGGGGCAATCTTCTGTTGACTACAGGTAGGAGGGAGCCTGCAATCTGATCTGTTCCCAAATCTATTGTTTTTGAGTTTGCTTAGGGTCACGTGTACCAAGAGAACTCTCGAGTGATCCAATTTTTTGTGCTGTTCTCGATCTCCATAGCAAGGAAGACTCCCAAGTAGGGCCAGATAAGGTTACTTCTTTGAGAACAGAAATAATATTCTGGGAAAAAGACATAAATGAATAATAATGTATAAAGTCTCCCACAAATGCAACATAAAGAGATCAGAAACCTAGGATTAAAGCCAGCACAAGCTGGACAGTAGTGGCGCACGCCTTTAATCCCAGCGCTTGGGAGGCAGAGACAGGCAGATTTCTGAGTTCGAGGCCAGCCTGGTCTACAGAGTGAGTTCCAAGACAGCCAGGGCTACACAGAGAAACCCTGTCTAGAAAGAACGAAAGAAAGCCAGCACAATGGTGAAGACACCATTTGCCTCACCTTTACTGGACTGTGTCAGATAGTTGTCCTGGCTTCATGACACTGTTTCTCACAGTGGGCCAGAAGAGAAACACTTATGAAGTTTATTTTTTGTCCTCTGCCCTTCTCTTGGTTGCTGTTTATTTTATTTTATTTTATTTTGTTTGGTTTGGTTTGGTTTGGTTTGGTTTGGTTTGGTTTGGCTTGGTTTGGTTTGGTTTTTGGAGATAGGATTTCTCTGTAAAGCCCTGGCCTGGCTGTCCTGGAACTCTCGCTGTAGACCAAGCTGGCCTCGAATTCAAAAATCTGCCTGCCTCCACCTTCCAAGTGCTGGGATTAAAGGCATGCACCACCACTGCCCGGCTTGGTTGCTATTTATTCTCTCTCTCTCTCTCTCTCTCTCTCTCTCTCTCTCTCTCTCTCTCTCCCTCTCTCTCAATATAAATTATATCACTCAATAAAAATTTCTCTTAATTTTTTGCCTTCCACAATTCCCTGCTTTTCTATTGCTTATCAATTGTTCTTGTGACTTCTTTCCTTTAAAAGATAATCAGGGGATAGAGAGATGACTCACCTATTAAAGATCATGGGCTGCTCTTCCAGAGGATAGAGGTTCAATGTCCAGCCTCCACATGGCAGCTAAAAACTGTCTGTAACTCCAGTTCCAGAGAATCTGATACCACCCCACAGATATACTTGCAGGCAAAATATAAATGCTATAAAATAAAAGTTAAAAGAAAATCATTTGTAAGAAAAGAAATCAGAAGTTAAAAATTGAATAAACTGTCTTGTTAATATCTATAAACAAACACTACATAGTATATGTATCTAAGCTATACAAAGTAAAATCAACTATTATATAATCAATATGCATCATAATTTTACAAAAACAGCTTTACAAAATGATTATGTAAATTCTATATGTAATTATCACATTTTTGGAATTGTTTTACCAAATCCTTTAATACCTTAAATCAACTAGGGTAAAAAGTTCATACTGAGTAACTTATATACATATACTTCATAGAATAGTTTTATATCACTGTCATTTACATTAAGTGACCAGTCACAGAAAGTTTATATGGAAATGAAGAAATGGAGAAATCATATTCTCTATAGGCTAAAAAAAAATGTCAATGAGGATTACAATTTTCAGATCACATCATATGATGTACATCTTATAATTTTAATTTTTCAGAAGATAATACTTGGAATGCTTGTTGCTCCAATATATAAATATACATAGTGGTGCTCCCCATGAACATAGGATGACTAAGACAGCAATGATTATCTTTTATATGTTTCACCACTGGTACTTATCATTCTTATAATACTTCATTTTTCTCTTAGATTTTAACAGCAATTTCAATAGTGTTTCCTATGCTGTTGATTTTGGCAGTAAAACATTCTCTGTCTTCACAGGAAATGGAAGAGTTTGCACAGAGCTCAGGCGAACATGGTGTGGTGGTGTTTTCCCTGGGGTCGATGATCAGGAACATAACACAAGAAAGGGCCAACACAATTGCATCAGCCCTGGCGCAGATTCCACAAAAGGTAAAATGGCGCCCCAATGGGAGCCAGCTATCTACTGAGTTTATGAAAGTGTGGAAAGGTCCAATTCTAAAATGTTCCTTTATGCCAAATCAAGTGTTATGATTTGCCTTAGCCAGTTTAAAAATAAGAATTTGAAATTTTTTAGACTGTGTTCTTTTAATTGATGGTAATGCTGACATAAACCTGTGATCACCGAGAAGCGTGGTGAGCACAGCTATTGTAAGAGGAACTACACCAAGTAACTAAACTGTTATCAGTCACTTGTTCATTTTGCTTAAGCCTTGTCTGAATACAGAAATTCAGGAATCCATTTATTTAAAAAAATATTTGATTTAATAACTTTACTAGCAGATTGTGAGAGGCGGAGAATCTGCAGTGTAACATGAAGACTCCCCAGGTAACCCTGCAGTATTTACAAAAAACACTAATATAGGGTTACTTAGTTACCATTCGAGAAGCTGTTTGGAGAAAGGGAGACCAAGGTTCACCATCACAGTCCCTTCCATCGTGTTTAAGAGAAACAAAAGGAAAGATCAGGCCTTCTAAAGAGGAGCCTATCAAAGTCTGAAAGCACAAGACGTAAAAGTGAAGGTGGAATGGTCCCTGTCCTTATGATTAACCAACAATACATGATCAAATATCATCCGTGGGACTATGTCTCTACCACAGTAGAGTAAAATACCTCCCATTTAGGAAGAAGTAGAGAAATAAGAGAGAGTCCAGTAGAAATGAGCTTTATACCAGAAAAGGTCCAGGTGGTTCTCTCTTCGTAAGGTATATAAAGATAATTTACCACAGATGAACTTTAATCCCGAATACTTAGAAACTAGAGTGTTGTTTTGTATTGCATGAAGTCACCTATAATCCTCATGCTGGTTCTCACTGAAGTCCCAAAGTTAAGTTTTAACATGTCACAGCAGACAGATAGTAAATATGTAAGCAAAGCTCCAATTTGTGAGGGTAGCTTGGGATTTCAAGAATCACTCCAGTTTGTGTGGTACAAGCAAGGGTGTGGACCTCTCTACTCATAGAAATACTGTGACAGCAACCACACTATGCCAATCATGAATATGAATGTGGACAAAGGTGACAAAGTCATGGCCAGGTTAATGGCCAATGTAAACACCTACAGTCTGTGAGGCTATTCCCAGGATCATACAGACAGATGACTCCATTCTCTAATTTGGCATCTTGGTACCTTTCCAGAAACTTCTAAACAGTGAGATTGGTGGATATGGAATACTTGCCAAAATTAATAACAAATAATATTTTTTAAATGCTAAACTCTTTTAAAATAACATAGGACAAGTGAATATAAATGGGTTATTTTATTCTAGCATGGAATTGAAAAGGGAAAATTAGAAGTACTATAGTAAATAAACTTAAATGTTTCTTAAGTACATTCATATTTCATTAACTAATTCATTTGTGCACATAGCTCAATAAGGCAAGTCATGATTACATTAAATGTGATTAAATTTAGAAAGAAACACAGATGATGCTAGTACAGTCTGTGTCTCAGGTTTTTGATAGTTCTTAATGACTCCTTTCCTGATTTCCACATCTGTGCTATAAAAGGCACTTTTAGTTAAGCAGTGTCTAACTTTTAAAATAGTATATTTTAAATTTTGAATCCTTACATAAATTATTATCTAACATCTAACAGGTTCTTTGGAGATTTGAGGGCAAGAAACCAGACACCTTAGGACCCAATACTCGGGTGTTCAAGTGGATGCCCCAGAATGACCTTCTTGGTAAGACCCTGAGAATCAAATACTGAAAACACAAATCACAGAATCAATAGGCTCATAGGGACTCAAAGACTGAACTAAGAATCACAGAGCCTGTGTAGGTCTAACCCAGGCCCTCTGAATATGTTATAGTTGTGTAGCTTGTTTTTGTGGGACCTCCTAACAGGAAGCAAGAGATGTTTCTCCCTAAGATCTTATATAGCAATTCCAATACTATGAAAATCCTTAGAGAAGACGTGTCCAAGTCAGTTTCATCTCAATTCCTTATGGCCGTATGTCTGATGTGTATTATGTCTTCAGCAGTGAGGCCTTATCTTCAAGCTCTGAGAGACAATGATTGCCTCTCAGGAGGGAAGTTTATATTGTTTGGAGAAAGTACTAGACCACCCCCTCCCACCCTTAACAGGCAACCCAACAACTGCCCACACAACCTGTGACCCAAAAACTCAAAGTGAAGTTTTTCTTTCCTGACACTGGGTTGGCTCCTGAGAGCAGCAGTATCACCTCACTTTGCAAAACTCCATCCAAACTACACACACACACACACACACACACACACAGAGAGAGAGAGAGAGAGAGAGAGAGAGAGAGAGAGAGAGAGACATAGACAGAGAGAGACAGAGACAGACAGAGACAGAGAGACAGAGACAGACAGAGACAGAGACAGAGACAGAAAAAAAGAGAGACAGAGACACAGGGACAGACAACAGACAGACAGACAGACAGACAGACAGACAGACAGATGGGTGCTTGTGCAGGTGGACAGACAGGCAGGCAAACAAGGAAGCAGGCAGAAACAAAAAGACAGAAAGTGTATGTGTGTGCTAATAAGCAAACCTATTATTGTTATTTCCCTATTGACTTTTCAAGCTTCTTGAGTTGCATTTTTTACTTTGGGAGGGGAGGAGGGCAATGGAAGGAAGAGTCAGAAAACAATGAGTGGTACTAAGAACATAAGAACTCTTGTGTTATAACAAACACAAGATGGTCTCAGACATTCATTTCCTCCATCCAATATGTACTTTGTGTGTTCAAGTGATAAGCACTTTTCATCACAAACCTCATACCAGAACATATACCACATCTGTGACTCCTCCTCCATCTACTTCTTCCATAAGCCCTAGCTCCAAAATAAAGAAAACCTAAGATACAGCTTACTCTCACTTATGCTTCTATGCAGGAAGGTACTTCATACTCTGAGATATTAAACCAATTTAGGCAATTGAATTTAACTTTTTATATTAAAAAATACACTGCCTCTTTTTACACACTTATATGTAAGACTTCTAATGAGTATATTTTCTGACGTTCTTATGATCTTAGGTCATCCAAAAACTAAAGCTTTTGTAACTCATGGTGGAGCCAATGGCATCTATGAGGCGATCCATCACGGAGTCCCCATGGTTGGCATCCCTTTGTTTGCAGAACAACATGACAATATTGCCCACATGGTGGCCAAAGGAGCAGCTGTTTCTGTAGACTTCCATACAATGTCCAGCTCAGATTTGCTCAATGCACTGAAGGCTGTCATCAATAACCCTTCGTGAGTATAACAGTATATTTATTTATTTGTATTTTATTGGAACCCAGAACTTTACACATGCATTCTGAACAAGTTCATTGCCCTGTGTGACAAGCCCATTTATTTTAGATTTCTCATGGGAAGATCCAAGAAGCAGAAATTAACCTGAAGAAAGAAATAATGATGACAATAAACAGCTGAATTAGACAGCAAGGGAATGTCTATGTGGTTTTCGGGTTTTTTTTTTTTCATTATTTTTGTTTGAGAGTCCTAATTTAACTTGACATATTTCTCTTTCATCCTGCAAAGCTCTGGAATAACAAAATTTTACCAACATGCAAGACAAAAGTGCTTTTAAGTTGTTATACTAACAAAAAAAATTTCAGAGTTTTAGGATAATTCAAATTATTGAAAAATATATACACACGCACACACGCGCACACACACACACACACCTGGGAGTTTAAAGTTCAGGTGGGGTGGGGGTGCGGGTGGGGACATCCTCATGGAGAGAGGGTGTAGGAAAGAGGTATGGGGTGTGGAATAGTTGGAGGATGAAATATTCCATATATAATGGAAAGAATCAGAGGCTCATAACAGGTGAGTTGTGGGGACGGAACAGGCAAGTAGCAAAGTTATAATGGCAATATGTAACTTCTATTACTATTACAACTGGTATTCTCAGCATGAGAACTTGGTAGATTTTAATTGTAGAGTAAGTATAGTCTTATAAGTTAAAATACCTACTGATAGTTGAAATTTTGGTAGAGTGAAACAATTGAAGATAGCTATCATTTTTCTTTTTCTTTAAAACATCTCCTCAAATTTGCTTTTTGCTAGTCAGAAAGTTAACAATAATCTCTAATTCCAATTATATTTAATGCTTCCAATTTTGTCTCTGTCAATATTTTGTTTCATCATTGATATGTGCTAAAAAAATAGACCTTGTGATTTTTACTCAATAACATCAGGAAAAGATGGTTCTACTTGTAAATTGTGCACATCCTTAAGTTTTAAGTTATGGTTGCCTTTTTGGAAGAATTGTAAAATTTATTTTATTTATTTATTTATTTATTTATTTATTTATTTATTTATTTCAGACTCCAGATTTAATTCCCCACCCCATGGTCTACCCTCCGACTGTTCCACATCCCATACCTTCTCCTCACCCCCTCTCTAAACTAGGATGTCCCTACCCCCACACCCTACCCGACCTCTAAACTCCCAGGAGCCTCCAGTCTCTTGAGAGTTAGGTACATTATTTCTGATTGAACACAGACCCAGCAGTCCTCTGCTGTATATGTGTTGAGGACCTCATATCAGCTGGTGTATGCTGCCTGGATGGTGGTCCAGTGTTTGAGTGATCTCGGGGTTCCAGATTAATTGAGACTACTGGTCCTCCTACAGGGTGACCCTCCTCCTCAGATTCTTTCTGCCTTTCCCTAATTCAGCCATAGGGGTCAGCACCTTCTGTCCATTGGTAAGGTGCAACTATCTGCATCTGACTCTTTCAGCTGCTTGTTGGGTCTTCTGAGGAGGCCCCTTTTTGTGAGCACTCCATAGTCTCAGTAATATTGTCAGGCCATAGGGTCTCCCCTTGAGCTGTATCCCACTTTGGGCCTGTTGCTGGACCTTCTTTTCCTCAGGCTCCTCTCCGTTTCCATCCCTGCAGTTCTTTCACACAGGAATAATTATGGGTAGGAGTTTTGAGTGTGGGATGGCAACACCCTCCCTCATTTGATGCCCTGTCTTCCTGCTGGAGTTGGGCTGCATAACTTTCTTCTCCCTACTGTTGGGCATTTCATCTAAGGTCCCTTCCTTTGAGTCCTGAAAGTTTCTCACCTCCAGGTCTCTGGTGCATTCTGGAGGGTTCCCTCAACCTTCTACCTCCCTAGGTTGCCTGTTTTCATTCCCTCAGGGCTTCAGTCCTTTTCCCTCATGCAATACTAGATGGAGATCCCTTCTCCCCCACCCGACCCCTGTCCACTTTCCCTCCTAGGTACCTTCCTCCCTCCCCACTTGTGATTGCTCTCTTCATCTCTTTGAAAAGAGAGAACTTAGCATATTGCTGTGTAATTGCCAAATATCTTACAAAGTAATTATTTACTTTCCAAATTACTTCGGAGCATGCATTTAGTTAAATTATGCTTCCTAGTCATGTAATTCCATTCATCACAGATATTATGCATGTATTTCATGCATAAAAATACAAACATTTGTTTAGAAGTATATTGGTGATAAATAAGCAATAGGCAAATTTTAAACCAAGCTAACTCAATGTAAGTAGATGTTAATCATTCTAATATGCATTTTGTGAAACAAATTTTCTTGTTACAGCTTTTGGAAAATAATTTTTTCTTTTTTTTTTTCTTGGTTATTTTATTTGTTAACTTTCAAATGTTGTCCCCCTTCTCGGTTTCCCCTCTGCAAGCCCCCTAACTCATCCCCCCCTCTTTTCTTGATGGTCAAATATAAAACTCTTGTGTATACATATTTGTCTACATTTCTAATATTTAATAGACACGATGATGGCATTGGAAAATGGAGATTATTTTTAAATAGGCAATACATTTTGAAGTCTTATGGCACATTGAATTCATCTTTAGTAAATTGTACAACATCCTTGTCATAGACCTCATCTCCTGTATAACAATATATTACTACTGCTGCAACTGTCTCAAAAAACACTATCTTCTTTCTGGATATTTTATGGCTGCCTTTCTTGACTATATTATAAATAACAAGAAGGGAAACTGCATCTATTGCCACTGGTTCTGTGTTATGAGACAGTACATTAAGCTTTAAACTTGATGATCAATGTCTATAAATAAACCTCTTGCTGGTATGTTATCATATCACTACTATAATCAAATATCTCTTCAATGTTTCAATGTAAAATATTAAGAATTCTTAAAACCAAAAATCATGACACAGAAAAGAACAAACAGTAGTAGCAAGAATCTACTCTAACTCCACTTTACAGCAAGACTAACTCGAAGTATTCCAAGAGCCAGAACAATTTTAGTAATAAAGAAAAGTGTAGTTTTATTATTTATATTGAACAACTCACAACCAGAAGGAGATATTTATGAAAGGACCAAGTCAGCAAAGGGGCAATCACTGCACATCTATATTTATAATCAATAAGGACTAATAAGTGATTTGTACAAATTCCTCATCAATTCCAACTCCTTATCAGCTTTCTTCAGATATGCACCACAGAGGAAATGGCCTGGATTTGTCACTCATTTCCAAATTGTTCTACTGTTCTGAACTCTTAACACCAGCTACACTAATAATTGCTTTCTGCTTGACTCATACTTCTAAACCTCAAAACTAGCTCCTTTTGATTTTGTTTATTTTGCTTTGGGGCCTTAACTTATTCCAATCTCTTATTTATGAGTATTTATTTTCTTCCTAGCATTTCTGTTTATATATTTAACTCTCTGTGTTGAAGAAGTTCTAGCTTACACATTATTTAATAAGATCTTGACAGTGATAGGTGACCACAATCACTTCCCTTATGCTTTCATGTAATCAACTTTATGATGCATATAACTTTATACACATATATTTTCATATTCACTCTGTAAGAAAATGTCCATTGTATTTTCCTTTAGCTATAAAGAGAATGTGATGTGGTTGTCAACCATTCACCATGACCAGCCTATGAAGCCCCTAGACAGAGCAGTCTTCTGGATTGAGTTTGTCATGCGTCACAAAGGGGCCAAGCACCTGAGACCACTTGGCCATAACCTCACCTGGTACCAGTACCACTCTCTGGATGTGATTGGATTCCTACTCACCTGTGTGGTGGCCATTGCTTTCCTTGCTGTAAAATGCTGTCTGTTTGTTTACCGGTTCTTTGTAAAGAAGAGAAAGAATAAAAAAGACTAGGGCTCTTTAAGAAGGAAGGCTCTGATCTGTGGTCATGATGGGTAATACTATTCTATTCAATGCTAGAACTATGTATCAGATGCTTCTTGTTTTAAAAGGAATTGAGCTACTTGATCTATCTACATATTTTACTCCATAAGTTAAGAAATTAACCATTTTAAATTTTTATCTTCTTACATAAGTTGTTTTTGTGTTGATTTATCAATGTAATAATGCTGAGAATAATAACCTCTGAAACACCAACTTGTTTATGGGAGAAGAATAGGAAGTATCAAGTTTTTATTGTGAACTTTCAGATATCATTTTCAAAATAAAATTGAATAAAATGGACTATCAGTGTCTGCAAAAAGAAAAAGAAGAACATGATCCATTTCTAAAGTAATAAGGCAAAATAAATAGACAGGTAGATGGTAGGTAGATAGATAGATGATATAGACAGACAGACAGACAGACAGACAGACAGATATATGATCGATTCCTTTAAAAAGTAACAAAGCAGGTTTTATTGAAACTACTACAGTAAAGGAAAGAGGGTTCATAACACATACACAATCAGAAAACACTACCAACAACAAAACAACAAAAACAGTGAATACAAAGTGAAGTTTAAAGAACACTAAAACACAAGTAGAGGGGAATTAAAGAAATGGGAATTTTTAAAATGCCTTGGAGTAAGGGAAAAAAAATTTCTTAAATGTCCTAACAATAGAACAGTGTACAGTTCACAGTTTCACAGAGGCATAGGTGCGTGCAGTCAACGTTGAAAGTTAAATCCTCTTTAAAGACAGACTCCATGACAAAATACAAGTGTAAGCCTAAAGTTGATCTAGTCTAGGTACAAGTCCTATCTGCTACATGAGGATAAAAATAAATATTTTTCTTTTCTTTTTTATACATGTATTTGTTTGTTTTTTGTTTGTTTGTACATCCCAAATGCTGTCTCCCTCCTCTCCCTTCCCTCACAGACTCTCTCCTTTTATCCTCACTCCCTGTCTTCTCTGAAAGTGTAAACAAAGTACTTCAAGAAATTTTTGTTAGCTTATTACACAGTCTCAAGATGTTTCCTAAGATAATTCCCACTGAAAACTACATCGTCCAATAAACATTTTGTTGGAAAGGTAAAACACTTTTTTCACCACATGACAGACACCTTGAATATGCTTTTCATTGAATAGTCTTGTGCTGTTGGACAGTACGAAAATGCACAACAGAAAATGGCCTGCACAGCTAAAAATACTAGCTGAGTACCTCATGCTCAATTCAGAGTGCTTGATGCTTGGTGTTGTAGTACAAAAAGCCTGTCACTTTTAGTTGATGTGCTACACAAACTTAAGAGTACACTTACATTAATTTCCCGTTAAAAACATAGAGAATAATAATTGCCAAAAAAATGAATAATCAGGATTCAACGTGAAATTTTCGCATCACAGCATAGTACCTGTGCTAGAGAGAATATTTTAAATAGTAAAAGGTTCTCAAGATCTGAACTGTAATATCTACACTTAGAATTTTTACACTTAGAGCACAGTCTGCAAAGAACACCGAAGAAAGAATCCAACTGAACAGCATTTCTATTGCTCAGTAAAACTGAGATACATGAAAAAGTTTTCTACAGTGCTTTTTAATGCAAAACTTGAGTATGATTATTAATAATAGCAGCTATGAAAATAATGTAGGAAATAAACACACTACCTCTAAACTACATTTTTAGAGAGCTCTAAGCATATTGTAAAGGGGGGCCTTGAATCTGTAACCTTTTCTCCTGACTGATCAGAGTTTGCCAATTGTTGCTGTTTGCCCTGCACTAAGTATATTGTTTGAGTTTGCTCATGGGAAGATTCCATTTGTAATGGCCTCATTTAGCTATGTACTTATCTGTGGTTAATGATCTCCAGGGCATAAAGAAGACATACAAACAGTAGTCCAAAAAAGTTAATTTTAGGACTTTCCCAAAAAGACTCAGACATAATTTTCTCAGAAAAAGACATGAAATGAATCATAGTGCAGAAAGTCCCCAAGAATGAAACACATAAAAGACCAAAACCCACAAGCTAGAGATAGAAAGATAGTGATTGAGGCACTTGGCCCAGGTTTGCCTGAACTGTGTCAAACAGCTGTGCTGGCTTCATGACAGTGTTTCCAGTGGATATTACTGTGCCACACCAGAAACATGGAGTTCTTTGGGCACATACCAAGGACAGTATACCTGGGTGACATTACAGACATATTTTTAGTTTTCTTAGAATTCTCCAAGCTGGTATCAAGAATGATGACACTGCTTTGAATCTCACTAACATTAAATGTGGGTTCCCTTTCCCCCACATCTTCACCAGCATTTATTGTCCATCATTTTCCTCATCTTAGTTATTCTACCTGGGATAAGATAAAAACACAAAATTGATTTAATCTGCATTTTTCTAATTGTAAAGACAATGAACACCTTTAGAAATCCTTTTACTTCATAATTTGAGAACTCTCTGTGTGGCAATGCATTATTATAGAAATATTCAAAAAAACTAGAACTTTTGCTATAACTTTAGTCCAGAGTTAATAATTCACCTTGAGGTCACTTAAGGCTCAAGATTGATAGTCTGCTTTGTCCTCATCTGATTTGTTTAACTTGTCTTTATGCAATTAGGTTTTACAGTCTAATCTTAAGTGTAGCTGTAATCTCCTAAATTATGTACCTTTCCATGACCCTGACCCAAAAGTAATTCACGTGTTCATGCATGTGTCCTAGTTAGGATGTTATTACTGTGAAGAGACAACATGACCATAGCAACTCTTATAAAGGAAAACATTTGATTGGGGCTAGTTTACAGCTGAAGGAGGTTTAGTCCGTTATCATCACAGTAGTCGGCATGGTGATGTGCATGCAAACATGGTGCTGGTGATCTGGAGGAAGAAACAATGAGCCACAAAGCCTACCTTGAGCTTCTGAAACCTCAGTTTTCCAAATGATACACTTCCTCCAACAATGCCTCACCTCCTAATAGTGTCATTACCTATGAGACTATGAGGGTCATTTTCTTTCTAATCACCACACTATGTCACAGCAATAAATGTTGAAAACAATAAATATGTTGAAAAAAACCTTATGAAACAAATATCTACTTTAAATGCTGGAAACAACCTTCCAATTCTCAACAGTGTTGTTTGTTTATTTGTTTGTTTGTTTGGTTGGTTGTTATATTGGCCATATGAGGTCAGTTGGAATTAGTAACAAATTCTGTGAGGTGTCACTCATTCTTTCACCCATGTGATACTTTTTATGGTGTTTAATAATTATGGAGCAAAAGCCCATTTTTGGAGACACACTCAAACACTCACAATCACAGACACATGGATATGTTCACAAAAGAAAATTGAGCCCTTCGGCCCCTGCCTGGTCCCTTGGACTGGAGCAGACACAGAGTCGGTCTGCTCCTGTCCTGTGGAGAAACTGAATCCTGAGTCATCCAGGAGCCACTGCACTCAGAGCAGCTGGTAAGAACTCCATCTCACTCCCTAAGCCCCAGAGATACATCTGGGAGCCAGGGACATCCAGGGCACAGCAGCTACCCAAACCCCGCCCCTCCGGAATTCCACTTCCCTTCGGCCCCTGCCTGGTCCCTTGGACTGGAGCAGACACAGAGTCGGTCTGCTCCTGTCCTGTGGAGAAACTGAATCCTGAGTCATCCAGGAGCCACAGCACTCAGAGCAGCTGAAACTGAATTCTGAGTCATCAGGGACCCACTGCACTCAGAGCAGCTGGAGCCACTGCACTCAGAGCAGCTGACACAGAGTTGGTCTGCTCCTGTCCTGTGGAGAAACTGAATCCTGAGTCATCTAGGAGCCACTGCACTCAGAGCAGCTGAAACTGAATCCTGAGTCATCGAGAACCCACTGCACTCAGAGCAGCCGAGGAGCCACTGCACTCAGAACAGAAGGATTACCAGATCCAAGAGGTGGCCTGAGTCCCAGGAGTTCTTCCACCCGGGAGATTAGGGGCATAAGACCACAGAGACCTCTGGACTCCGAGGAGCTCTGCAATAAGCAAGATAACTGGAAATACAGATTCCAATCTTACACAGAGAGGGCAGGTACCACTAGAGTTACCCAGATGGCGAAAGGCAAGCGCAAGAACATAAGCAACAGAAACCAAAGTTTCTTGGCATCATCAGTGCCCAGTTCCCCCAATATAGCAAGCCCTGAACACCCCTTCACACCTGAAAAGCAGGATTCAGAATTAAAATCACTTCTCATGATGATGATAGAGGATTATAAGAAGGAATTAAGTAACTCCCTTAAAGAAATACAGGAGAGTACAAGTAAACAGATAGAAGTCCTTAAAGAGGAATCACAGAAATCCCTTAAAGAAATGCAAGAAAACACAAAGAAGGAATTAAACAAAAACATTCAGGATCTGAAACTGGAAATAGAAACAATAAAGAAAGTTCAAAGGGAGACAACCATGGAGATAGAAAACCTAAGAAAGAGATCAGGAGTCACAGACGCAAGCATCACCAACCGAATACAAGAGATAGAAGAGAGAATCTCAAATGCAGAAGATACGGTGGAAAATATCGACACAGTTGTCAAAGAAAATGAAAAAAGCAAAAAACTCCTAACTCAAAACATCCAGGAAATTCAGGACACAATGAGAAGACCAAACCTAAGGATAATAGGTATAGATGAGAATGAAGATTCCCAACTTAAAGGGCCAGTAAATATCTTCAACAAAATCATTGAGGAAAATTTCCCTAACCTCAAGAACAAGATGCCCATAAACATACAAGAAGCCTACAGAACACCAAATAGACTAGACCAGAAAAGAAATACCTCCCGTCACATAATAATCAAAACATCAGATGCACAAAACAAAGAAAAAATACTAAAAGCAGTAAGGGAAAAAGGTCAAGTAACATATAAAGGCAGACCTATAAGAATTACACCAGACTTCTCACCAGAGACTATAAAAGCCAGAAGAGCCTGGACGGACATCATACAGACCCTAAGAGAACACAATTGCCAGCCCAGATTACTATACCCAGCAAAACTCTCAATCAATATAGATGGTGAAACCAAGATATTCCATGACAAAACCAAATTTGCACAATATCTTCCCACAAACCCAGCACTTCAAAGGATAATGGATGGAAAACGCCAACACAAGGAGGGAAACTACAACCTAGAAAAAGCAAGGAAGTAATCTTCCAACAACCCCAAAAGAAGATAACTATACAAACATAACTTTACCTCTAATAACAAAAATAACAGGAAGCCACAATCATTTTTCCTTAATATCTCTTAACATCAATGGTCTCAATTCCCCAATAAAAAGACGCAGACTAGCAGACTGGATACACAAACAAGACCCAGAATTTTGCTGCATACAAGAAACACACCTCAGTGACAAAGACAGACACTACCTCAGAATAAAAGGGTGGAAAACAATTTTCCAAGCCAATGGTCCCAAGAAACAAGCTGGAGTAGCCATTCTAATATCAAATAAAATCGACTTCCATCCAAAATTAATCAAAAAAGATAAGGAAGGACACTTCATACTCATCAAAGGAAAAAGCTACCAAGGTGAACTCTCAATTCTGAACATCTATGCCCCAAATGCAAGGGCACCTACATACATAAAAGAAACTTTACTAAAGCTCAAAACACACATTACACCTCACACAATAATAGTGGGGGATTTCAACACCCCACTCTCAGCAATGGACAGATCATGGAAACAGAAACTAAACCGAGACACTTTGACACTAACAGAAGTTATGAACCGAATGGACTTAACAGACATCTATAGAACATTTCATCCTAAAACAAAAGAATATACCTTTTTCTCAGCACCTCATGGTACCTTCTCCAAAATAGACCATATAATTGGTCACAAAACAAGCC